CTGGCTGTATAAGACCAAGTCTTAAGAACAAATACATACAATCCAAAATTAAGATGACAGCAACAGATAATCAATGCCACCTCTTCAAATAAGCTAAGGAAACAGTGGTCTAATTGGCTATTGCAAGAAGATCTCACAGACTGACTACAAACAGCAACATGACAAAGTAGCAACAATGGTGCATTGAAATATGTCCAAGAAATACCATTTCCTTGCAAACAAAAATTAGTGGGACCATAAACAAGACAAAATGATCAAAAATGGAGAAATTAAAGTGCCCTGGGATTTTAGAGTTCAAACAGACAAGCAACTGCCACAGAACACCCCAGACTTAACAACTGTCAATATTGATCAATCTAAAGTGATGCTTATTGGGGCAAAATTTCCCCATTTCAAATACATATCAATAAGCTCTGAACTGTCTGATTTTCATTGAAGAAGATTTTTTTTATTGTGATGGATAATTTATATACAGATGAAAAATTCATCTTAGATATTAAGATAACAAACAACTCCCCTTGCACATTAATTTTTTTGAAATACATCATAATTAACCTTTCATACCTTTTAACTTTCTCCAGGCCAAATTACCAACTAGTGGTGTTTTTTATGACAGACTACTATAATGCCTTCTCTTGAAATAATAAGGCCCAAAAACAAATATCTCTGAAGGAATTATATACAGAGCAAAACTTCATCATTTCAGTTCACCATTAGTTAATCTTTGCAAGATGTGATTGTTTATTTTTCCTATTTCTTATATAGAAAGTTAATGTTAAATGTACGTATATGCATATATACACACAGGCACACACAAAAAAATACTGCTGCAATTCAATATTGCAGATGATTTAGCTGTAAAGTCCATACAATATACTCCAGTGTAATTGTTCAAAGTAACTGTAGTATGAAAAAATATTTCTATTTCTCATGTCAACATATTTTCGATGCACTGAGTTTATAAACAAGTTTGCTAGTTTTCATGGTGAGATTCAAATAAATGAATCTACTACAAGAAACCAGTCAATCATCTCTATGAAAATGTAATTTCTTTCTCCATGAAAACACAACTACATTGTCACGAACTGATAAAAACTGTCTGTGACAAATACTGAATGTCATTACAAACTATTTCTTTTTCTGACCGAATGAACAATAATACTTGTTATGCCATGTATTCATAGGTAAGGATATCTGACCACATTGCCATTTCATAAATGGAACTTAATTTTTTTTAAAGGAGATAATATAACTCACGAGCTGCTGATATAGGTTGCTCCAAGATAACATCTGTGAGACCCAAAATTGCTAAATCTTCAAAACAAATCTCTTATAAAATCAAGCACCGAAACCTTCAGCCAGGGACATTTTCACTCTTCTGCAAAACTAAGAGATGGTAACTGACATCTGAAACAGCATCCAACTCTTGATATAATTGGTTTTGAATTAACTAGCTTTCTTTACATTTTTGTTTTGGTTTTCTAAGACGTTAAATTTCACTGAGCTCAATAGGCCTTCTCAAATAAACAAGTACAGTATTTTTAAAAAACATTTAAAGCTTGATGCTGGAAATGTAAAAAGGTTTATGTGTCTGTCTGTGGGAGTGTATCTGTGCCTGTGTGTATTAAAGGTAAAGGTGCCCCTTGCACATATATGCTAGTCTTACTGACTCTAAGGGGCGGTGCTCATCTCCATTTCAAAGCCGAAGAGCCAGCGCTGTCCAAAGACGTCTCCGAGGTCATGTGGCCAGCATGACTAAATGCCAAAGGCACATGGAACGCAGTTACCTTCCCACCAAAGGTGATTCCTATTTTTCTACTGGTATTTTTACATGCTTTCGAACTGCTAGGTTGGCAGAAGCTGGGACAAGTAACTGGAGCTCACTTTGTTACGCAGCGCTAGGGATTCGAACTGTCCGAATCGAGCCGAGCACTTTTAACAACCTGCATCAGAGAGTACATTTGAGCAATCAGGACGTCTAAGAGAACACATATTGCCTCTCTGATTGTGTCCGCCGAGTCGCGCCCAGCCGCCCTGTTTAGGATAACCCGTTCCCTCCTAAATAGGAGGGACATGGGTGATCCGCTGCAGGGCAGGGCTGAGGATTACGTCCAATTCCTCGCTCGGCTCCGGGCGGACCTGGACTCCAATCCTGCAGAACCAGCCAAGGCACTAAGGGATAATCTGGTAAGCCATCGCTGGATTGATTTTCAAGCTGTTACCCAAGGACGTGGACAAGGCGATGAGAGCTGTAGGTGCCTCCACATGTATGCTGGACCCGTGCTCCTCCTGGCTGGTTGTGAACAGCAGAGAGG